GTGCGATAGTTTGCGTACCTCCTTGACCCACTGAGCTATACTGGGTTATGCCTCCGAGCATCTTGAGAGCTACTCCTACCAGGTTGGTCAATAGTGAGAGGTCAGACAAACCCAGTCTCCTGTTACTCCAGGTTGAGGGTTTGAAATGAGATGGCGTCCATTTCTTTAAAATTAAATCTTTGCCACCTCCCTGTTGCCTTGTCGGCAAGTTTTTGAGCCAAAGGCTTTGGATGAGGACCTTAATCGTCCTTCTGTCTAGGTCTGGGCGCCCTGGCAGTATCTCACCCCACATACAACCATGACATCTTCTTTAAACATAAACTTCATCCTGCATCGGCCGTCGCGCAGATTATCAAGGGTCGCCTTATCTGCTGCATACAGCAGGGCGGATAAGCGAAAACATGCTACTGCTGGCGCCTCCATTCTGCCTTTTTCACTTGTTTCCCTTACTCCCATCACGACCCACATTACTAACCTTCCTTCTATAATTCCCAGCTTAATTGGCAGCAACCGAAGTGCCACTAGAGTAGATCTAACTGCAGCCAACATCCCACCGCACCCATCGGACGCCTATCGGCAAAAGCCCCTTATAAGGCCACGCCCACCCCTTTTCCATGGCGACGTTCAACGTTCGCACTCCAAGACAAACAGGGCAACAGGCTGCACTCGCACGCACACTGGGTGTTGATGTGTGTTGTGTGCCCGAAATTAGGACCAATGACGCTAACGGGGTTATTGAATTAAGTGCACGCGGCTTATCCTCTCGTTATTAGTTGCACGCAACCGGAAACGCCGATGCAGCACTCACCGGTCAAGCTGGTGTAGGTATCATTCTAAGCTCCAAGGCCAAACCATCTTTGGTTGATGGGATTCCGGTGAACAGCCGTTTATGTGCAGCCCGATTGACGATATCAGCCAAGGCTGATCCAAGAAGTAGTACAAAACGCTGTTTGTTTGTGATTTCCGCTTATGCCCCACCGACTGCAGTTCAAATGCTGTCAAGGACACATTCTATCACGAATTGAACGCGCTACTACGCAGTGCTACTAGTTCGGATATTCTAGTACTTGCAGGGGATATGAACGCACAAGTAGGGCGTATGAGCTCTTCAGAAGCTCAGGTGGGTGGTAATTATGGTCTTATTTTGTTCGTCGCAATCAGCCGACAATTCAGATATGTCGACCAGCTGTCCGGAAAAGCACCAGACGGCCGTTTCGCCCTACTGGGGCTCATCAGTGGTGCGCATCCTTCGGTCCTCTGCGGAGGATCGAACCCATGACTGCTAGTGGCTCTTGCCAACTAGCCCGCAGCTTATGCAACTGCGCCATGGAGGACGGTATCTAACTATCGTGAATTGTTAGCTAAATGCGATATAGCCCGACGCATCCTCCACTGCCATGCAGATGACAGCGGTCGGCCTTCCGGCGTCAGGACTTCCCGGTTACGGCAGCTATGAATCGACATAGCATTTTGTGGAATCCGTACGGGCGAATTGGTATTACCTATGAATGGAAGGATTTTGGTGAGTATTTTGTTCGTCGCAATCAGCCGACAATTCAGATATGTCGACCAGCTGTCCGAACGGACTGACAACGGTGGGTGTCTGCTGCAACTGTGTGCTGAGCACCAGTTGTTTCTTAGTAGCACTGCTTTTAGACACAGTGGGCGCCGAAGTGCCACTTGGCGTCCTCCTGTAGCTGGCCAGCGATGCACCCAAATTGACCACATAGCCATAAGTTACAGATGGCGTGGCTCCATCATGGATTGCCGCCCATACTGGAGTACCTGTGTCGACTCTGATCATGCCTTGGTACGCTGTCGTTTCTCCACGAACTTTACCGGGAGGCGCATGAAGCGTCCCCTACGATTGGCAACGGAGAAATTGTCTCAGTCCTCGGTTAGGCAAGCCTATCAAGCCTATCATACCGAACTTCCGCTGTCTTGTCCTAATGACACTGAGCTTCAGTGGAATAGGATCTCGGCCGCCATGCAACACGCAGGAGCATCTGCTTGTGGCACTATCCATCGTCATCGCACCAGTCACTGGATATCCGAGAGGTCAGTGAACCTGTTGGAAGCTAGAAGACACCTCCCGGCTGGTTCTGAACATAATGTGACCAAACGGGCTATCAGGCGTGAACTAAAGCAGAGCCTGCGTGCTGACAAGGAAGCCTGGTGGACCAGTAGGGTCCAAGAAATGGAGCAGGCAGGAGCAGTAGGCAATTACCGGAAGCTCTTCCAGCTAATCCGCACAACTGGTCCCAGAAAACCGGGGGTCAGTGAGACAATCAGAGACAGCGCGGGTGCACTGATACACAATAAGGAGCGCCGTATGGCTCGTTGGGCGGAACACTTTCAAGATCAGTTCAACTGGCTCCTTGCTCCCGGACCTCTTCCTACTAAGGTGATGCAGAACGAGCCATGGACGGTTAGTTTAGAGCCTCCGTCGGAGGCCGAGGTCAGAAACGCGATCACAGCACTCAATCGTTTTCGCGCCGCTGGCCCGAATTCCCTCCCACCTGCACTATTTAAGGATGGAGGTGAGGTCCTCTGCAAAGCACTGACCTCCCTATTCGAATGTATCTGGAAGGAAGAGAGTGTCCCGGCTAATTGGAGCGAATCGATTATAGTGGTAATATACAAGAATGACAGTCGCACAGACTGTTCTAATCACAAGGGTATTAGCCTAACGCCAGTTGTGACAAAATTACTGGCCTCGATTATCGTTCGTCGCCTCACTGCAGAACGGGTATCTCGGAGTAGGGAAGAGCAGGCCGGTTTCCGCCCAGGACGGGGCTGTATAAACCATATATTCAATTTGCGGCAGGTGCTAGAGCAGCGCCACGCATACCGCAGACCGACAATAGCTGTGTTCCTCGATTTCAAGAGTGCGTTCGATTCAGTCGATCGATCGATTCTGTTCAAAATACTTGCGCGGAAAGGTGTTCCCACGAAGTATGTGAACATTCTTCATGCTCCATACTCGAACACTACAGGCCGCGTCAGGGTCTACGGCAGCCTATCGGATAGCTTTCCGACTACAAGTGGCGTTCGTCAGGGTTTTCCGATTTCCCCATTTTGTTCAATTTCGTCGTGGATTCTATCATGGAGTGTTCCCTTTCGGAATCTCACGATGTAGGCGTTGAAGTGCTGCCTGGTGAAAGATTAGTTGATCTAGATTATGTGGACGATATCGTCTTGCTTTTCGACAATGTTGAGGCGGCACAATCAACCCTGAATAGCCTGTCTAGAGTGGTCCCATTATTTGGTATGCACTTCGCACCTTCAAAGTGCGAAGTGTTGCTGCAGGAACACCAGCCACTTGATGACTCCTTGACGCTTGCTAACGAGGAACTCGAGGTGGTTGATCATTTCACTTATCTTGGCAGCTGCATCAACATTGATGGACGCATAAAAACTGACGTCAGTTCATGCAATGCAAAAACCAGAGCTACCTTCTTGAACCTGCGGCATGTTTGGCAACAGAAGGGAGTTTCCCTCAGTCTGAAAGGCCGTGTATACAAGGCCACAGTGAGGGCCGTTCTGTTATATAGTAGCGAGACTTGGCCCCTTCGGTTTGAAGATCTGAGAGGCCTTCAAATCTTTGATCATCGTTGTCCGCGAAGCATTGCTGGTGTCGGATGGCACTAGCGTGTCCGCAACGATGATGTGTGTAGGCGAGTACTAGGTGGTGAGAATCATGCTAACTCCCTAGCACAACAGATAGCACTGAATAAGTTGCGTTGGCTCGGGCACTTGCTACGCATGCCTGGTTACCGCTTACCTAGGAGGACTTTGTTTAGTCTGCCAGGTGTAGGCTAGCGCAAGGCTCGAGATGGACAGAAGTTGGCTTGGAAGCGGGAAATGAAGCCACTGACGACCAAACTGGGTGCCGTTGGTCCGTCTCGCCTTCTGGGCTGGAGTCCAGGTGACTCGCTTTTGCTTGGCTTGAGAGTTTACAGGATATGGCTCGCAACCGACACCAGTGGCGCGTCTGCTGCCGTCTCCTAATCGTATTGCCAGTTTAAAGTGTGTTTGTTGCTGTGTTATCTGCGGGGTAATGGCTGATTATGACGCGTGGCACTGAAAGCCGCAAGGAAACTGTCTCATCGATGCCGCCTTATATCTGCATGATAGCCAGCTGTTTGTGACGGTATGTTGTCTACCCAAGATGTAGGCGCCTTGACCCTGAATGTTTGCTTGGGGCATTAAGGTTTTTAGGTCCTCATGGTTGTATGGCAGCGAAGCATCAGTTCAAATGGCTGATGTACTGCTGTTGATGATGATGATGATGATGACTCGAATCCAGGTCCTTTGGGATGTCAGCCGAAACCACTATTCCTAAGCCACCGCGACAAAGCATTTAAAGCTTACCACAATGGTTGATGGGAGGGGTCATTTTCAACCTCCCGTGGTCGACACTGTGGTTACGCGTCGCAATCCATTCAGACAACGTGCTTCAAAATGACCCTTCTACTCAACTTTTAACCGCGACGCGGTGACTTACGGGTTGGTTTCAGCTGGCATCTGGGTTCGAGTACCTGTTACCTCTAGTCGATTAAAAGAAGCAAGTTCGAAACTAATCGTGGAGAGCAGTGTTTCCAGACGGTCAATACCTAACATCTATCGGCTGCAGTTCCGATCCGTCGCCTGAAGGATCAAAAGCCTGCCTTGTAATTCGAGGGCGCGGGTTCGAGCCTGAGTAAGGGACCGGACAATCGTCGCGGCATCCTTAGACTGCGCGAGACTGCTGGTAGCAGCGAAGTGTCGGTACTGCGTACCGAAGTGCAGATGATGTCCTTTTCATCTGCTTCAGCTAGTCCCAGTGATAGAATTGGCCAAAGTTCATTTCAATGCAAATCGCGGTCCACACTGAGATTGCGCACCGCAATCTATTCACACGATGGATTCAAAATGAGCCCGCCAATCTGACGCCAAGAGAATTTCAACAACACTCAAGTGCATCCGTGCAAATGCGAACATGAGATAGCACAACTTACTACTTAAACTCCTTGATGATGGAACGGTGAAGTTTATTACAAAAATCCTCTACGGTATGCGAAAGGGACCGTAAAATGACAGGAGCAGTGTAGTCAGGAAGTTGTCCTTTGGGTTTAGTGTAAATTCGGAGCAAATTTAAATATTCCCACATCATTTCAAGCAAATCATCGAAATTCCATTTATGATGCGCCGAAATAGGTACACAGTGGGGGATCCGGCAAATAATGTCCAGCTCCTATTGCGTTCGATCCGATTATTCTAAGCTCACCTCGATAGAAATTTGATCTATTTTGTTCAAAACATATAAGCAAGGAATGTAGACACGATTGCCTTCAATAACATCAATCAGGTCCTCAGCAGTTGCATCACATCGCAGGAGCACATCGGCATTGTGAATCTTATACTCAGACAAAATGGTCTTCACTGTTTCCCGATCCAGTTCTGACTGAGGGACCTGATAAGACAAGACGGTGAAAGCGACAATGGAAAGCATACCATTGCTTGAAAGTTGAGTCCACCTTTATCTTTTTTCTTTAACGTAATGTTCGGTGGTTCCTTGTTCAATCGAATACCGAAACCTTCCAGTTCGTGTTCAAGAAGTCGCTTGTGGTGCAATGGCTTGAGGACATCAAGAATCATCAAAATAAGGGAGCAGGTGCGCGCCACTGGTTGCATTAATCACATAAAGGAGAGTGAAACGCAGGAAAACATACCAGCAATCACTTGTTTTCCTCTACCTTTGCCATCTTTGGCACCCTCGATAATGCCAGGTAAGTCGAGCAACTGGATTCGTGCCCCTTTGTAACGAATAACACCGGGAACAGTCGTGAGAGTGGTGAACTCATAGGCAGCGACCTCCGAGTAAACACCGGCAAGATTGCATAAAAGCGTTGATTTACCAACGGACGGAAAGCCTACGAATCCGATGCGAGCGTCTCCAGTTTTCGCAACGTCAAAGCCTTCGCCTGCGGCACCCCCACCACCCTTGGGTTCGATCAATTCACGACGCAGCTTCGCTAACCGGGCTTTGAGTAGGCCAAGGTGACCCATCGTGTTCTTGTTTCGTTGAGTCTTGGCCATCTGATGAACAGGGAAATTATGCACCATGGCATAAGACAGTGAAACAGTGACAGATTAGAGATGAAAAAGTAGTGCCGCCGGTCATGTCACAGGGTCGGAACTGAGAAGTGACAGATAGTAGACGATGCTGAATACAGAAGAGGACTGTGTGGGAGGAACCCCTGGTGCTTTGCGTGGGTAATGTCTGTAGGGACATTGACAGGACGCACTTAAATTAACATTTTAACAATGAAGGCCAAAATCTGATCCCTTTAACGTGGCTAATAGAAGGGTAGTAAAACGCATCGCAACAGAATGATTGCAGCTTGAGTTTGGCCACCAATGAATAGGAAAACAGATAGAATTATCAGTAAGAAGAGCGGTAGTGTCCATCAATCGCCTGTCATCAGGATTTATCCTCGTGCATCTGCTGCTGACTAACCGCTCATCCATGACCACACAGTCTAATTCCTCAGCGAACCTGGAAGAGTTCATTAAGGGCAAGGCTTTTGGTTCTAGACAGCACTGGGTGCGCGGCCCTGTTAAAGAGGAATCACAGTGAGAGCACAAACGAACGTAACAAATGAACAAATGTGCGGTGGTGGCGCGAGCATACAAGTTAAGTCGATAAGAGCAGATGCCAAGGAGCACTTAGCAATGGACGAAATTTAGAAAGTTTTAAGTATGTAACGAACCATAGTGAACAGTGATCGAAACTCTCACTGAGCTCAAAGCTGTGTGGAATTAGTGCAAAGTATATTGATGGCCGATCCAGCAACCTGTGTTGTGTAAGCGGTTGAATGAAGAAATGAACAGTTCTTCTATTCGACCATCCTAAACCATTGGATGATGGCAGCAGCAAAGCAGGTTAATATACGAAAAAATGTAACTGGATGCAAATAAACATAAGGCTAAAAATGTTAGGTGGAAAACCTAGACAAAATTGAATGATGCAAATGCCACAAACAAATGCGGCTGTTCAAGCATATAGAGAAAGCTGAGGTGCAATGGTTCAAAAGATACTGCATCGTGAACAAAAATAGTGACTGCAGAATGAGACGTGACGTTAATGCAAAAGGTATCAGGACTACGAGAATGTTCGAAACATAGTACGCTTAAAGTTGATAAATCGCACCCAGTTGTCCTTTCTGTGACATTCAATGCACGAATAGTGACATTGTTTGTATATGAACGTCACCTTAGTGATCATTGTATACTCAACGATAGCCGCTGAAACAGATACATGACACTGCGAGAAAACATTTACAGGTTTATAAGATCACTACTTGAAGGCATAAAAGGAAGACATGAAACTTTCTGTATTCCTTAGTTATAGCTAACGAGGTCCCAAATTCATCACGGCAGACTTAGCTTCAGATGGAGCCTAGGAAACTGCAGATGACCTTAGTTTCCCTTCCCTGACTCAGATCATGCGTGATCCCGTACGAGTATCTGTACGTTTCGAGAGGATACTGAAAACAAAACAAAGGAGGTTGACACAGACCGGCAAAAGGTTCCTCGATACAGTTGGGCTACCAATCTTCACCAGAAGACGTAATGACCAACAATCCACAAAATTAATCGAGCAGAAGCCAATGATCCCATCTGGACGAACAGTTTTTAGTTTCACTAAGCAACGATTGATAACCCACACCACTGCTCGCCTTTTGGAATTGACTGAACACCGCTGAAATATCCCATAGAGCCAGATTACTATGGAATACAAGATAACACCAGCAATCAAATCATCAGTAACCATTAGAAATCAAACAAAGCCTGCGTAATAACATGGAGCATGGTGGTCTCTGAGATGGAGAATGCGGCTCCCTTTGGGAATCCGCACACCTTTGCTAACTCATTCGGTCAAGCAGGCCATAATAAGGTAGTATAAGGTGGTTGTGCCAGTAATTCATAGCCTGCCAGTGCAGGATGGTGCGACCAGTATATGAAATTACCTGACATGAGTAATCCGATTAAATCCAACATACAAGGCGGAAGGTGCTGTTAACATTCCACATTTAAAGATTCCGGTTTAGGGTTTAGATGGCATTACTCGAGTAGGTTAATGCGGTTGAAAGCCGGTCTGCAGCCTTAACGATCACAAGCCTATCTTGTAATCCGAGGGCGCGGGTTCGAGCCTGTGTAGCGACCGGGCCGCCCACGCCCACGTGGGAATGGTTGTGGATGCGCGGCAGCGAAGCGTCGGTACCGCGTAAAGACGTACTGCAGATGTCTCAACTTTAATGCAGCTGAAAAGTAATTATCAAGCAGCTGGTGTCGTCATCTTACGGGAAGAAAAAAGACCATGAGGAATGCAGAGCAGAAGAAAAGGAATGCGACAATCACTGACCCGGAAATGACCCCGAAGCGATGACCTGAATCTAACAGGCGACCGACTTAAGTGTTCACGATGTCCGCGCTCTCGGGCATTGGGAGAAAACAGGACAGCTTCCGCTGAGATCCGCTGCGTCCCAAAAGGTAATTCAGATCTGTCGCATACAACTTTATTACTGATCAATTGCACATCGTTCGTTAGTGTTTTACTTCTCCCCGCCTTCGATCTACGCTCGGTTACTGTGCTGACGCTCACACCTGCCTCCCCTCATCCGTCCACGTCTTTGTGTTGCCACCATATAGTTCGACTTCATTGGCTTTCTGGTAATCATACTTGAGTTGCAATCCTGCTAGCTCTACCTGATGAACGCAAATGAGTACGAAACCGGTCGTGGAGTCAATGATGCAAGCAACAATACCCAACAGCTTTTTATTTGAGGTAGTCTCAGTGACCGAATTGTCCGAGATTCTTATCAAAGCGAACTGTGGTCTAGAATGAAATTACGCGTCGCAATTCATTCATAATGAGTGCTGCAAACTGACATCTTCATTAACCGCTGTGACAAGCGTTGCTTCAGTTACGCAACCTGACAGTATCCTCCAGTTGTCCGTCGAGTGTAAAGTCGAAGAATGTATGAAGCCAAGAGTAAACTGATTTGATACACAGGTGTGTTCAATCCATCCAGCCACGCACCTCCAGGAGCGACAAGCTCCGATATAGCGCGGCCAACCATTGTCCTCTGCACAGTTCGTAACTGTTATGACAATGGAGGATCAGCCGCGCTATATGGCAGTCAGCTGTCATTCATGCGGGTCTACCGCCGTCACGCATGGCTTAGTGGTACAAGTTGCTAGCATTCGGAAGTCCTGAAGTTGGAACCCGGCAGGGGTAGGAGGAATACGCACCACTGAAGAGACCCAGAATGTGAAACGGCCGTCTGGTGTTTTTCCAGACGAGTGAGAACCTTACTGACTGAGAGGTGATTGCGATGAACTAGATTTAAATCTGGTGTGTGCTCGCTGTTCACTGCATCAGCGCAACTTTCACGAGTTACTGACAAAGTCGTTAGACACGAAACGCGTCCGGGACCCAAGCTGGGCACCGCTGAGTACAATAAGTCCATCCAGGCGACTCTCCAATGAGTACCTCAACAGCTTTATCAGGCTGTCTGACTACTGCGCAAGTTAGACTGTGGCTCGGCAAGTAGAAGTACGAATAGCCACGTTACGGCGGCAGATCGCTTCATAAAAGTCGAGTAACTCATTTCCAGCTGACCCTAAGAAATAGGTGCACAATTTCTCCTCTTTGCAATTAGATGGAACCCAAATCGAAGTTCTGTTGCCCCCAAAACTAATGTACAACAGTTAGACTTGGAAGTCCAATTCGAAAATCTCTATCCACAAGTTTCTATCGTAACATCATCCGCAGCGTTAGCAGTTGAGCAGTATAAACGCACCTTGGTAAACACATGCTACCAGTACCTGTGATACAAACCGACTATCAAATATCTTCTAAAGAACAGGCATTTGGACGCTCTGAAGGAACTCAAGAAAAACAAAAAAGTCTTGTTATCTAGACCGAATAAAGGAGCCGGGATTGTATTGATGAACAAGTTAGATTATATTGATAAGATGAACACCATCCTAGGAGACGTGTCGAAAGGTGCAAAACAAGAAAGACAGAACGCTGACAATTGAGAACACCATGACAACACTTCTGCGCCATTTAAGACAAGATAAGACCATAGACTCTGACGCTTTTGAAAAAGCCAGACCTAGCGGAACAGTGATTCCGAGGCTTTATGGTTAACCTAAAATCCACAAGCAAGGTGGACCGCTGAGACCGATACTGGATATGTGCAACTCCCCCTATCATTTGACTGCTAAGTGGCTTGTCTAACGCCTCGAGCCGGTCAGAAAAGCCATATCCAGGCACAGCCTCCAGGACAATTTCGAATTTCTTGACTCGGTGCAACCAATCGAACTAGCTGGACGGAACATGTGGCGTCACTTTTCACCAACGTTCCGTCAGAAGAGACCTTTGAATATCTCTGCGAGTTTATCCAATTGCACAGCATCAACATTGGTATCCCATATGACCGTTTAAGGCAGCTTATACTGGCGTGCACTAAGAAAATTCGGTTTCAGCTCAATGGGAAGTTTTACAGACAAATAGACGGGGTAGCTATGCGCTCACCATTAGGGCTACTACTCGCTGTTGTCATCATGAGTAAGTTGGAGAACACAGCTAAACGAATGCATCAACAACTAAGTTTAGTACGGCCGATACGTTGACATACTTTATGTTGCGGATAGCCGGGTATGCATTGAAGATATGCTAGCCCCCTTCAAGGCTGCATACAAGAACATAGTGTTTACCATGGAACTTGAAGGTAACAACTTGTCATTCTTAGATGTCCACCTCACCAAAACATCGGACGGGACAGTACAAAGGAGAGCATACGGGAAGATAAGTTGGAGCGGCCATTATACCCATTTCGCCAGTTTCGTTCTAATGAGTCAAAAACGAAACATCGTCCTTTGTCCAACAGAAAGAGCGAGGAGAATATGCACGGTAGACGTGCTGTCGGAAGAGTTGAGTTAAATTCGAAGCGTTCTCGAACAAAATGGTTACCCGGACAAATTCATCCGGAGGTACACGGAGCTATGAGCGCCAAAAGTCCAAT